CACCAATGGTGATCAAACAACAAAAGAGAAAGAGAAAATTACTTGTAGCTTTAACAAAGATAAATTGTATTAATTAATTAATTAATTAATTAATTATATTACTTATATTTCATTTATACTGTGAAGAATGTTAATTTACAATTGATCATTCAATTTCTGTACCTGAATACTGTTAGATTTACCTGAAAAATATAAATCACTGCTTATTTCAATTGTATATTTCTTCTATTGTATTTATCTATGCTTGTAATTTGTTTATTATTTTCTCTGCAGATTCACTCCCCTACAAAATCACCCTAATTGTTGAATCAGGTGATTAGTATGAGATATGTAACAGCTGAGAAGCAATAACATAACAATAAAATCATAAAGCCAGCCTTTGCTCGGGATGAACGTATTTAATTTCTTGAGTGTGTGTTCAGGAAGTTGCAGTGACAATTTATGTTTGAAGAGAGCAACGCCTGTGTTCAGGCTATCAAGGAAATGCAATTTTGCCAAAGAAGAACGTTAACTTGAAATAGCTAAATATTAATTTAAAATCATCCTACTTCAGTGTAATATGTTACAATATTATTATGCTTAACACTGAGAATTTGAATAATTGTAATGTTATGATCGGGTGCGGATATCTAAATCAGAGAAAATCATAGATTCGAGTGGGTCGCGAGTGGATGATTTATATTAACAGCAAATCAGTTGACGTTAGAACTGATCCACATATCTGTAAATGACAGCTGGTTCTTTTGCTAGTCATGACTATTGACTAAATATTGCTTTTACTTAATTTTATTTACATGTGTGACCTTGAAGGAATCCAAAAGTAATCAGATTACATTACTTTCATATTGTGGTGCTTGAATTACTGAATACCTTTTTTTATGAAGTAATTTGTAACTGTAACAGAATACATTTTAAAAGTAACCCTTCCAACCCTGACTATGATTGTAATCCGGACGTACTACATCCGCCATTATCATGTGATCTACCAGCGTCAGCTACCTTGCTTCACTGGCATTCAAAATCTTCTAGTAAAGGATCTAGTATCCTCCATCGTATGTACACTTCAGAATCTCGTCGGAAGAAGTAGGTCAACCGGGTACTTTTTACTTTTTACCGAGTACTGTGAATTCTTTTGTCACATACTGGTTTTGCCTACTTAAGTAGGGAAGTATGCAATTTTGGATGCTGCCTTTGAAAAATAGAGAGGAAAAAATATATACATCCGGGTCTTCTAATAGTTAAAATTTCTTCAATAAACCAAGTATTCTTCCACTTTTCAATTTTAACATTCTTAAAGATTTACAGTAAATCTAAAATGCTTAAACAGAAACAGAAAACAATGGCTTTGTTTTAAGGCCAGGAAACGACCGCATCCAGAAGTACACGGGTGGAGCGACATCTTAAAAACGACGTAACGTCACACATCCGTGATTTGCTCTTTTAGGGAAATCAAGCTTAATGTGAGAATTGCACGCGCGCCAACCCTGTTTGTGGTTTGCAATGCAAATCTCACTAGCCAACGTGCATTGGCTCGTTCTGTTACCACTTGAAGGTTATTGGGCTCTCAGGCAAACGTGTTGAACGTGACTGACTGATAGGGAACTAAACTTCTACAGCCATATTATCTTTGTAAAGTACAGACTTTTTTAACAGTCTTTCCTTTTTAAATGTATTTATTTAGCATTAAACAAACTAACCCTTTAATGACTTTGAACAAGGATTATTTTGTTCACCCAAAAATGAAAATGATGTCATTAATGACTCACCCTCATGTCGTTCCAAGCCCATAAGACCTCCGTTCATCTTCGGAACACAGTTTAAGATATTTTAGATTTAGTCCGAGAGCTTTCTGTCCCTCCATTGAAAATGTATGTACGGTATACTGTCCTTGTCCAGAAAGGAAATAAAGACAAAATCAAAGTAGTCCATGTGACATCAGTGGGTTAGTTAGAATTTTTTGAAGCATCAAAAATAACAAAAACTACGACTTTATTCAGCATTTGTATTGTCTTCCGGTTCTGTTGTCAATTCGCATTCACGAGTCCCCATTGACGCTGGTGACGTAAGACGCTGCTGACGTCCGTGTATTCGGGTTCAAATAAATATGGCTGGGCAAAAAAATTCTTAAAAAAGTCTCAAAAAAAGTCTTCCTCTGTGTCGAAATCCTTAGACATGTTAGAGAAGATTTTTTTGTTTACAGCGTCCGTCCACCTCAGACTGTAAACTAAGCTCGGGAGCACCAGATAACACGTCAGCAGCGTCTTACGTCAGCGCGTTCACTGAATGCAGAACAGAACCGGAAGAGAATACAATGCTGAATAAAGGCGTAGTTTTTGTTATTTTTGGACCAAAATTTATTTTCGATGCTTCAAAACATTCTAACTAAAGGCTGGTTCACACGGGACGATTTTAAAATTGTCGGCTGATTTTACAAACCTGAGAGACCCCACACACAGCGATAAAAAAATCACGGGTCTAACAGTTTTGGTCGTACAGTGTGTGGTGCGCAGCCACACGGCAAAATCAACACATCACACACGAACCGATTTGACTCCCGAGCATTCCCAGGTCAGACGGAAAATCTCGCAAAATCCCTCAAAATCAAACGTGACTTCAGAGTAGCCTAAACAATCATGGCGGACGAAGAGGATGTTGAGTAGTTTGTAGTTTGTTTTTAACCGAAAAAAAAACGTTATCAAAAGAAAAGTGCGGGATGCACGGGATACCATTGTGTTTAAACTTTATTTTTCAAAATGGATAATTTCTTGAATTTTCTAAAAAACGACATTTAGCCTACTTGTATTTTTAAAGTCAATTTTTTGGGAGGAAAAAGCTCAGTATAATATAAGCAATAAAATACTTCACATATAAAAAATTAATATAGGGTAGCCTAAAACAAAAACATTTAAAAAAAACTGTAAAACGTTAAGTTATATAAAATAAAACATTAATAAATTATTTTTTGATAAACATTACTGTCTTAAGTGAACTCATGTATAGTTATAAATGCAAATAATAATTGTCATTATTATTAGCCTACATTTTGGCTAGAAGACGCTTTTATCCAAAAAAGGAACAAAGCAATTCATCAGTCATAATACTGGTTAGACAATAATAACACAGGGCTAAGATTATTACAAATGACGCATATCCAGGGTGTGTGCGAGTGTGGAGCGCGCTCTGCATGACCAGAGGTGCGCGGGCGCGAACACTTGCGTTTTTCTATCAACAGTGGAAACAACTTAAAATACTCTATCATTTCTGGTCATACAGAAAATAAAAAATACATCAGTCGCAACTACTTTTATTTGTGTAAACTCACAATAACAAGAAAACGTTGTGCTTTTGTAAAATAAAAGAAAACAATCAGGCGCGCTTTCGTGGTCTCCGTAACTGGATTGGGTCTCAAAAATGAACTGAAACAAAACATAGCCTACCTATATGTAGGATAAAGCTTGAAATGTCAATTTTTAAACGAATAAATTCGAATCGAAAGCAAATGCAGTCTGATTATGTAATCCATATGAATTTCTCATTTAAAGGCGCATCCGCTTTACAGCGGAGATGGAGATATTTCCAGCCGATTTAAAAAATACTAGGCTAGTTTATTAATAAACACTTAAAATGCCTTGTTACTTTTTCAGACACATTTATTATTATTAGCCTATAAATCATCTATAGCCTAAATCAGCTCTCGTATGGTTCCAGAGACACGGGTCTTCACCACTGCGGGAAAAATATAATTTCCGCGTTTGGCCTTAGAAAACCAGTAAAATCTAAATTTTTTCCATATTAATTTGTGAATATTTTAAATGTTTAATTTAGGGACAAAAAGTCATAAACAAAAATCTGAAAATACGTCAATATTTATTATTTTGCGCAGCATTTGGAGTATAGCCTATGCATTTCAAATAAAAATTTTGGTGTTCAACTTTACGTTTTAGAAATATAACAACCGTTCATTTTTCAATTACGGGTTAAAAAAGGAAAAACGAATGGACGCAAAAGTACACAGACCAATGGGTAATTTTAAAGCTTGTTCATGATTTCAATGTGTTTAAACGAGAAAACAAGCCCAAAAACAATGGGCGTTTTTTTGTGCATTCTCGCGGTTTTTGACGAGGTTTTGGGCTGGAAAACCTTGCTGGCATCTGGGGAGACCACACACGAGGAGAAATCGGGCCAAAAAAATCCAACATGTTGGATATCCCCGATTTGAGATCGGAGCGGTCCCGACGTCCTTCCGAGCAGACGAGAGCAGTCTTAACACACCACACACGACAGGAATATCTGATCAGATTATTTTACGATAATCGGAGCATTCTTAAGATTGTCGGAAGGGGTGAATCGGGGCTAAAATCGGCCTAATTATCCTGCCGTGTGAACCAGGCTTAACCCACTGATGTCACTACTGTGATTATGTCTTTATTTCCTTTCTGGACAAGGACAGTATACCGTGTATACGTTTTCAATGGAGGGACAGAAAGCTCTCGGACTAAATCTAAAATATCTTAAACTGTGTTCCGAAGATGAACGGAGGTCTTACGGGCTTGGAATGACATGAGGGTGAGTCATTAATGACATCATTTTCATTTTTGGGTGAACTAACCCTTCAACAACATCAAGTTCTACATCAGTTAAAGTCACGTTAAAATGGAAGTAGTGACAGAAAGGGGCAGAGTTTAAGCGGACTACGAGATTGGAGAAGTCCAGCATCCAGTTATGACATTTTGATTAAAAGTTACAAGGTAAAAAAATGAAACATGCAAGAATGAATTGTTCACAATAAGATCAATAATATGCATTCATAAAATAGAAATAGTGAATTTTCATTTCATGTTGACTTTAAACGGAAAAAAAAAGTATAGCATGTTTCTTAACTTCCGATTCCATGCTGACTCATGAAATCTGCAATCCATAGACAATGTCTTCATGTGCATGAGTTAACTCTAGGTTACCAATAGGACGTTGATTGAATTCCGCACAGGTTCCACCCCAAGAGTTCAGGGTTTATGTGATGTAAAGTTGATCCCGCTTTCTGGAAATACCCCCAGGTAGATGGTAATAGATTGTATCGTTAGAATCTGATGTGGACAATTTGCCAGCAGGCTTGGGTAGAGTTGCAGAGGTGCTCCATCAATCCTCTTCCACCATTTTAAGGAGCATGTCCACCAACACTTAAAAAAAAAAGAGACCATAAATAATGCTTTCTTAAAATTCAGATTTTCTATTGTTACCATCAAAAATGATCATTTGTATGTTCTTTTTCACATATTCACTATCTATTAAATATCATCTTGTTTATAATGATGTCAGTTTTGTGCTTTTGAGTAAAGATTAGCTGTAAGGTTATGCCTTTTTTGGCCCATTGTAGGCTGTTTGTCCTTTCTTGAAATATCTCACCAAAAGTTTGTGAAGGTATAACAGATATGTTGACCTTTGGTTTGCTTTAATGAGTCATATTTTTCATGTAGGCCTATTTAATTTTGAATCGTCTCTCATCATCATTTCCCCTTCTTGTTCTTTTTTTTACTGGTTCGTTGCTTATTAATTAGCATTTATGTATAAACAGAATAATCATTAATATTTATAGCCATTAGGTTTGCCCTGTCTTGGGTCAAACATATAATGTTCAACAGCTTGCTGCCCTGTTTTGTTTCAGTTGGTTCTGTAGTCAGACCAGATTTATTCTCCCTCTGCAAAAAACACAATCATCTTACTTTCAATGGGCCAATTTTAATTGTATCTGGTAATTCAAACTTATTGCTAATGGCCCATAGCACAGAGAAAGGGATATAACATGAGATTCTTTGTGTTAAGTTGCTTATAGAATGAGCAATACAGAAAAATCTCAATAAAGTAACAATATGCACAGTTTTAAAGTTGTTTGCAGAAAAACACATCCTAAGCAACTCTTGCCCTCGAGATCAACTTTCCTGTTTAGCTCTATAACTGTGATCAGACTCATTTGCCTGTAGCTTTCTAGTAATCGTGACAATGTGATCTAGTATTGGTGTGTATTATTTACATAAAGTGTGGTTCTACCATATGTAAATTTCCTTATGTTTTCAGACACACTGAAACGTACAATATCGACGTATCGACAGCACTAAAATGTAAATTATTTATGTATGAACAACTTTTAGACACAAATGTGTATGAATCCTTATTTAATATCAATATTATTCTATTGTATTGTTGTATATAAATTAAATTATGTTTTCATTAAATGCAGTTTCATTATATATAAAATAGCATTTCGCTCCGCTCTGTGACTTCTGCTGTAAACTAGTTTTGAAAGATTACATGTTAAAAAAGTCTATACATTAAAACCTTAAAATGAATAGCATTTCTGTAATTGTTTAACCATTGTTTATCATGAATATTTATTTAGTTTGCTGTGGAACACAATAGGCGTTTTCTCAGTAGGCTATATGTCCTATGCTGGGACTGACAATAGAACCATAAAATATGCCAAAAACATAAATTCATAAAAGTAATACATTTATTTTCGTGCGCTGTAAACCACGTCTTCAGAATCCATAATTGTGAGGAACAGACCCAAATTTAATTCTTTATTCAGCGATCTTCATCTCCATTCTCAGTAAAGACCCGTCAAATCCAGTTGATGGCAGTGAAATAAAATGCTCACTGGCTCTCACCTTCGTAACAGCTTGCGACGTCGTGTTTTGGGTGATGTATGTTTAAAGGGGTCCAGAACTTTTGACATATAAGAGGTCATTGTACTATAAAAACATCCTGTAAGTTTCAGAGCTCAAAACTTTCTCATTAGTCTAAAAACAGCTTATATTGAAGCCAATCTGCCAGAACAATAGGTTGTGGAATGTTCTACTTCATCACGTAATAAGGTAGCTAAACACTGCATCTGCAGAAGAAGATCAACGCCTGCTTCTACATCACTGCCTGTCTAGCCCCGCCCACTGATTCACGCATGTAGTAGGCCTAGTAGGTAAATATCGAGACAGGAAAACGCAGGTCTACGCAGAAACCAAACAATAAAGATGGCTTTGAAGACAAGACGCTGTGCAGTGCCAAGTTGTGGGTGAACTTTATTTTTTCCAGACTGTCAGTTAGAACTTGGTCCTTTGTTCACTTTATTTTACTGCAGATTAGTTTACAAACAAGGCACAATTCGACGCAGGATTTTCTGAAAGATTAAAACTAAAAGACGATGCTGTGCCGACTATTGGATCCGACAGTAATGTCGCACCACTAAGTATGAGTAACTGTTTTTATTACGTGGTCACTATTGCTTTGTTTGTTATTACAGATCGTTTGATATACACTGAGTAGTTATGCGTTTTAATTCTAATGCCTGATCTGTGACCAGTGATTTCTGATATGTAATGACTCCTGTACAGTCAAGTGTTCTTCGTTTAGTCACTGGTTTGATTTACTGACACATAGACAGTCAACTTCACATTGTTTCTCGAAGTAGGATGAAAATAATCTGTTATTTAAACTGTGATTAAATTAGAAAGCGATAACAGAATGCTCCATTTACATTGCTGGAGCTGTCAATCAAACAGCGCGAGTTTATCAGTGAGTTCTGTTCAGGACTTTCGCCAAAACTCCCGTTATAATCAACGAATCTCTGATTCATGATGAAAGTATTCGTTAGTGTGCAGAATTAGCCATTTCATATGCAAAGATGTTAGCCAATCTCTAAGCAGATACGCCCCCTTCAAACAGAGCGTTCAAATCAGAAGGCTAAAATCAGGCTAGGAAAAATGCCTTTTATTTCAGATTTTACATCATTTCTTTTTTAATTTTGATGTAAAAATCATACTAACATTGTAAGTGCACACCAGGAAACATAATGAAACAATAAAACAATGCAGTTCATGAAAATGCACGGCTTCACAGAGTGGATAGGGATAAGATTTTCAGCAAATAATGACTTAAATTCTGTTCTATACATCAGACAAAACAAGTATATTTCGCTGGAGAGGACTGTGACTGTAACACATCATTTTGGTAATGCTTTTGGTAACACTTTTGACATTTGTGCAATAAATAAATTATTGTTATTCCACTTTTCTGTCAGTTATGTTTTTCTTTATAACTCTACATATTATTAAAGTGCCCCTATTATGGTATTTTAAAGTTTCCTAATGTTGTTTTGGAGTCTCCTATGTTAACATGCATCAAAGGTAAAAAAAACTATTTAAATTTTCTCACAATATACAAACGACTCTCAAACGACTCGTCAGATGAATCAATCTCTCTAAATCCCTCCTTTCCACGAGCTACTCTGCTTGGCCAGACAGCTCAGTCTGTTTTGATTGGTTGACCGCGTACAGTGTCAAAAACAAAAACGCCCATTGCCATAACAACGTCAGCTCTGCTTGGCTTCCTACACCGTGAACTAAACACAGTAACGAACAATGACGTCGATTTTACCATATCAATGCGAGCATGAGTGCGATGATGAAATATTGAAATAACTAGTTATTCAACCCGAAACTCCATCGCAAGGAGGACTCGAGCAGGACATTTCTCAGTGATACACTACTCAGTTTGAGGTACATTATGAGATGTTGTGCAACTGTAATTCCTCACCATCAGCATGTCCATCAACAAACTGATTATTTTACTTGTACTTATTTACAAGTATTTTTCTAATTTATTGTGGTGAACATGTGGAAACTGTATCAATAACAGTGCATTCATTAGCTGAGCTCTAGCGTGAATTACTGATGAAACATAAACGTTGGTAAAACAAATCTTGCTCCATGCTTAATCTTTCCTCAAAATAGTGAGAACAACAGACAATCTGCATTAATAGACACAGTTTTAGGTAATAGCCCACAAGCCACAACTGATCAGCAGAAGTATTTCAGTAAGACAGTAATAATGTGAGTTGACCAGTTAGCAGGAGACCAACACAATATAAAACGTACTGGTTACTAACGTAACCTCGGTTCTCTCTAGAAGAGGGAACGAGTATTGCGTAAGTTTAGCTTACGCTACGGGAAAGATTAATCTTCTCGAGATATTGAAGCGAAAAATTATCCTTAATTTTGTATATGTTGTCAACGCAGTGCAGCAGCTACCAGACCTAGAGCGGGCATTCTAGCGTGCTCATAGGCTGCTCTGCGGGAACTACACAGCCTACCAGTGAGCCCGACGTGACGTCATGTCCAATCGAGGGCGCTCGCGTCCTCGCCGCGTCCTAGCCCGCCAGAATGGGCGTGGCTTAGCGTATATAAGCGGGGCTCGGAGGCTGATTCTCTGGTTTTCATCAACTGAAGCGAAATAGCGCTTGTGGCGTTTAGCACGGCAGGTTACGCAATACTCGTTCCCTCTTCTAGAGAGAACCGAGGTTACGTTAGTAACCAGTACGTTCTCTTACGAGAGGTTCTCTCGTATTGCGTAAGTTTAGCTTACGCTACGGGAACCCATTGTCCACGCCGTGCGCGCCCGCATCAACCTCATGAGTCACAACACTTCTGTGAACCCATAAAGTGGGAAAAACACGCATGTACATAAGCGCGAGCATAAGCGCGAGTACCATGAAGCGTATAAGCGCGTGTAAACAAGCACTGACAGGCAATACAGAGCGGCCACGTGTGGCTGGTGTATAGGCATATATAGCACATAACCTGAAACAGTGCAGCTCAACCAGAAGAGCTGAATTCATGTGAGGGTAGTCTGCGCATGATAATATCTAGACAGGGCTAACCTCTCACTTAAACAGACAGCAGTTTCGCCTGCAGGGCGGGAACTTCTAGGTTATAAAACCTGACAAAGGTGAACGGAGAGGACCAGCCCGCCGCCACACATATGTCTTGAATGGAAATTCCACTTGACCATGCCCACGACGAGGCCACGCCTCTAGTGGAATGAGCCCTGATGCCCAAGGGGCACTGCAGACCTTTTGCCGTGTAAGCGGCTGCGGTTGCGTCTATTATCCACCTAGACAGGCTCTGTTTCGAGGTGGCGAGACCTTTAGTGCGCCCACCAAACGAAACAAAACAGCTGCTCAGAGCGCCTGAATGGGGCAGAGCGCATAACGTAAAATCTCAGAGCTCTGACTGGGCAGAGGAGATTAACATCACTTTCACTATCGGATGCTGGCAGAGCCGATAGAGAAATGACCTGTGCTCTGAATGGGGTGCCAACCACTTTGGGAACATAACCATGTCTAGGCTTG